CACGCAGGCCGAAGGGCCGCAGCAGAAGGCGAGGACCCAGTCGTGAGTCGGTCCCTTAGGTGATCCTCCCAGTGCGCCCGCGTGGAGCCATGGGAGCTCGCCACCGTTCGGGGGCGGTGCTGGTCCCGCCAGCGGGGGTCCCCCCGTCACTTCCACAATGAACCCGCATGCCACTAAGTCGGGCTGCGCAGAGTTCATATCAAGTTCTATCGGGATGAGGTCGAGCAACCCATCTGAACTCCCCGCGCATTGCTCATTGCTCATTGCGCCTCCTCCTCCTCCTCCTCGTCCCCCTCCTTCTCCTCCTGCTCCTCCTCCTCCTCTTCCTCCTTTTCCTCCTCCTCCGCCTCCTCCTCTTCCTCCAACTCCTCCCTCTCCCCCTCTTTCTCCCGCTCGTCCTCCTCCTCCTCATCCTCCTCCTCTTCCTCCTCCTCGCTCTCGCCTCAGCGCCGCGCGCATTCGTCTGAAAAGTGTGTACCAGCTTCAAGGATGGAGGGCGGGTAGTTTTCAACATGTGGTTCACGCCTTAGCGCCGCGCGCATTCGTCTAAACAGTGCAACAACTTCGAGGATGTAGGTCGGGTCGCTTTCAAAATGTGGCTCTCGCCTGAGCGTCGCGCAACGTTGTTTGAAAAGTTTGCAGCAGCTTCAAGGATGGAGAGCGGGTGGCTTTCAGAATGTGACTCTCCACTTACCACCACGCACATGTGTCAGGAAAAAAATATTCGAAGGGTGGCGCATGTTTAAACTGTGGTTCCCGTCTCAGCGCCGAGCACATTCGCCTTACAGTTGGTTCTAACAGTGTCAAAGATACGTGTGGCTGAAGCCCCAGGAACGTCGCTGTGGCACGATTTAGGACTCAGGACGAAACGGGCACGTCGACTCGTGTTTTTGAAGTTCCACGACTACTGCTCTGGCACGATCTATGGTTGTTTCTAAAACAACAACAGTCACGTTAATTCGCGGCGTTGAAATTCCAGGAACTGCATTCTGGCACGATTGGGGATTCTCAGACGGCTTCCCACAATGTAAACCAATCCGGTGTAGGGACCTGTGACGAGGAAACTTGGAGGGAGGGTTGATTACACCATCGTTGATGCGTTTTGGGTGTACACAGGTCCTCCGCCTCGTCCTCCACCTTCTCCTCCTCCTCCTCCTCCTACTCCTCTTCCTCCTCCTTCTTGTCCTCCTCCTCCTCAACAAGCACTGGATGCCAACGACATTCGTGGCGAAGCATTGCCCTCGGGAAGCTTCCCTGAGCTCTGCCCATCCCGCGCGACGACAAAAGATCGCACAGACAACAGCCTTAAGCGGCCACCTGGGCGGACACGCCAACTCTGTCTTTCTTATCCTGCTGCTGCTTATGGGCATCGCTTAACCGGTCCACGTTCCCACTGGCATGGCCTTGGCTCCACTGGCCGAGTCACCCCCTGGATTGACATATATGCTGTTTCCTTGGGGCCTCGCGAGGCCTACCCCCCAACTGGGTGGGTTGGATGGTGGGGATGGCCGAGGAAGGATGGGAATCAGTTAGACGATACTGCGCTCCTCTTCCTTGGGAGCTGCGCCCCGCCCACGTCCTGGCGAATCGACTTGTCGATCCGTGGACCCAAGACTTCCGATCCCTCCCCGGTCCAGGTGTTTCGCCCTGGATCGCGCGTGCAGGTCCCAGGGCCCGAAGACGAGCTCCAGGATGCCCAAAAACAAAACTTCAAAAAGTCATGGGTCTGCGGTCGCAGGTCCCTGGAGGCCTCCAGAGGGCATCCAGAATTCAGAAAAACCAGGCAGGTAAGCCGAACAAATCCGTTGACTTCGATCCTCGATCCTCCATCCTCGAGCTTCATGGATGTCCTCCTCCTCCTCCTCCTCCTCCTCCTCCTCCTCCTCCTCCTCCCCCTCCGCCTGCTTACCTGTCGCAACGCTGCGCAACGATCCCACTCCGAAGCCGCGCCGCGCCGCGCCGCGCGAACGGGAGCTGGAGACGCCTCCCCGACAACCCTAGACGCCGACGACGATGGTTTCCGTGAGAGGGGGGGCAAGGCGAGGAAGGTTACTTACCACACACTGACCCTGGGAGCACGAGGGAGGTTAGTTTCGACTTTGTTCTAGCGGCCAATGCCCAACCGTGCTTCTCGAAGGGAGGAAAGCGAGGAGGAGAGGTCGCGGAGGGCGGGCCGGACACGTGAACTTCATGGGTTTTTTTCAATGGTCGCAATGGTGGCCTAGATCATCCTGGGACTGCAGCGCGACCGACCTCGGCCTCCGAATCATCCGCCCAAAAGGATCTCCAGTGCCGGGTCGTTCAGCACCAGCGCGGTGCAGCCGTGGTACTTATCCCCGCCCCTGCTTTTACAGCGTCGCCGCTGGTAGTCGGCTTCCGGACACAGCTGGGTTTCTGGGCGCGGCTGCGCTCGACTCCTGCCTCGTCCCCGCCGACCTTGTTCACCACCCTCTCTCAGAGGGCGTCTCCGTTGTCCACAAAAAGTGCGTTCAGCGTCACTCCGCGCTCTTTCACTTGCACTTTCTTCTCTAGCCACTGCTGCACCGCAGGCTGTTGGATCACTGACGCCGCTCAGTCCCCGTCAAGGCCATAGGTTTCCAGCCATGACTCGCGAATTGGCTTGTCAATCCAATCGGTTGATCGCCCAATCAACAGCAGCTCTTTCTCCTCCTTCTCCTCCTCCTAATCATCATCATCACCATCATCATCATCAACAACATTATCATCATCATCATCATCATCATCATCATCATCGTCATCATCATCATCATCATCATCATCATCATCATCAACATCATCAGCATCATCATCATCAGCATCATCATCATCATCATCCGCCTCCTCCTCCTCCTCCTCCTCGTCCTCCCTCTCCTCCTTTTCCTCTTCCTCCCTCCTCCTCCACCTCTTCCTCCTCCTCCTCCTCCTCCTCCTCCTCATCCTCCTCATCCTCGTAGCTCAGCGGGTAGCCGTCGTAGCTCTGCTGGTGGCCCCCGAGCTCCGCCGGTGGCCCTCGAAGCTCTGCCTCTTGCCGTCGTATCTCAACTGGTGGTCCTCGTCGTTGAGCTGGTGGCTGTCGCAGCTCTGCTGGTGGCTGTCGTAGCTCTGCTGTTGGCTCTCGAAGGCCTGTTGGTGGCCCTGGTAGCTCAGCTCGTTGCCATCGTAGCTCTGCTGGTGGCCCTCGTACTTCAGTTGGTCGCCCTCGGACCGCAGCGGGTGGTCCTCGTGATTGTGCTGGTGACCCTCGGAGCTCAGACGGTGGCCGACGTAGCTCTGCTGGTGGCTGTCGTAGAGTGGCTCTCGAAGGTCTGCTGGTCGCCCAAGGAGCCGGCATCTCTGGCGGCTCTGCCCTGTGTCTGTGCAGCTCAGCTCGTGGTCCTCATTTAGGGGGCAAACAGACATATCTCGCTTTTGACCACCCTCGCTTCCAATAGGTACCAAGCGATGACAAACTAAGGCCTGCACTGGTTAGGCCGCTTGACGAGAAGGCGCGTGGTATGACTTGGTTTTGCCAGGAAGCGAAAGCGGGGTAGGTAATTCACGCTCTGATCATGGCTCGGCACGTGGCCATCGCAGCTCTGCCGGTGGCCCTCCAAGCTCTCTGCCTGTGGCCCTGGAAGCTCGGCCTGTCGCCCTCGTAGTTTTGCTGGTGGCCCTCGTACCTCAGACGGTAGAGGGAAACAAGTACTGAACACTCCCCATCCCCCCCAAAAGCTCATCGTTGGCACGCGCGGGGGAGACCGCGGTCGAAGTGCATCTCATCAGACTCACCGCCAACTTTGAACATTGGGGGGAGGGGGAGGCGTTGACGGATGAATGTGGCATGAGTGTTCGCTAAGCTGTTCCGAGGCCTGGATGCTTGGCCCCGCACCGAAGCGGGGGGGCCTCGTGGTCTCGCTTCCTGGTCACTCTGGAGCTCTGCCTGTCGCCCGCGCAGCTCGGCTCGCTGTCCCTGTAGTTCGGCTGGTGGCCCCCGTAGCTCTGCTGGTGGCCCTCGTGCCTCGTCTGGTTGCCCTCGCGGCCGGCGCAGTGGGTGGTCTTCGCAAGAATGTCGGTGGCCTCGGAAGCCCTGCCTGTAGCCCGTCTATCTCAGCTCGTTGCCCTCGCAGCTCGGCAGGACTCCCTCGTGTCTCTGCCCGTGGCTCTCGGAGGTCTGCTGGTGGCCCTGGCAGCTCCGCTGGAGGCCCTCGTGGCTTCTCCTGCCGCTCTCGAGGCTCAGATCGGGGCCCTCGTAGCTCGGCAGGCGGCTCGTGTAGCTCAGCTGGTGTCCCTAGTGCCGGCATAGCTATGCTGCTGGCCCTCGAGGCTCTCTGCTGGGAGCTCTCGGGGTTCTGCCCGCTGCCCTCGCAGCTCTCAGCGCGTGGGTCCCTCGATGCCCTGCCGGCTTCTCTCCCGGCTCTGCTGGCGGTCCTCGAGCTGTACGCGTTGCCCCTGGAGCGCTGCTGGTGGAGCTCGAAGCGTTCTTTGACTACCTACCAGACCATCCCAACCCAACCCGAAGACCCGAATGTCGGGTTAGGGGGGGTACGGGCTTCATACGTGTTTTTCCAGTGTTCCCCTATCCCCCCACACTGGAAATGGCAGGCAAATCGGGGCCTTCGGGTTGGGTTGGGGTGGTTTGGTGGGCGGTGATTCTTGGCAGCCACACGCACGGAACCAGCGAGCGATGCGCGAGGTCGGGCGAGACGCACATGTAGCGAGACGTGTCGCTGCCGCAGCTGTCGTATTCGTAGCCGCCGTTGCTGTCGTGCTCCACAAGGTTCGCGATCGCAAGAAGAAGTCTGCAGTTGCCCGGCGGTGTAGTGGTGCTGGTGCTGCTGCTGCTGCTGCTGCAGTGGGACCTCCCCGACGATATGATGTATCTGCTGGTCTCTCGGCGCGCGCTGTTCTCGAACAACACCTTTGCCGCGCGTGCTCACGTACAGCACGCCTTCTCTCGTCTCCCGCGCGTGCTCCCGTATACCGCATATTCCTTCCTTGTCGTACCTGGTGCCGTACTTGTC